TAGACTGCTTCCTGTTGTCTGTGGACAAAGGCATCTTTAGTGAACCTGAGAAAATGGAGAAAGAGGTCAAGTCCTAAGGAAATTAGCTATAACGTTTGTTGTCCAGTCTCTGTGCAATGGGAAAGTGCAAGGCTTATCTGTAGTCCTGGCTAGAATAGTCTGTGAGGCTAGACCATCTCAGCCAGCAGCCTTGAAGCCATTCTGGATGCAGAACTCTGAGAAGCCGGATCACCTGGGCCACCTGTTTTCATCGGTGTCTGGATCCCTTGCTCTAAAAACACACAAACTTTCAAAGGTAACATACACATCTGCATTAACACAAGTATGAAATGTCCATTACACACAAGCCAGCCAAAGATGATTTGTGTGTGTGTTTTATGTTTAAGCAGGTAAAATATACATCACTTGTCTCATAGTTTTTCTGGGTTTATTTCTTTCTATCTGTAGCTCAGATCTTCCCCAATCAATCCTGATCTCTATCAACCTTAAATAAATCCATACCCTTTCATTTCCTGTGAAAACAAAAGCATAACCTCTTCCCCAAAGCAGTACACTTTTTACTTCCATTTTAAAGTTAAGGCATTCCTAAAGTACACAGGCTGGTGTAATTCCCCAGGACTTTTTCACAATTTCATGTCTCCCAGTAGCTGTTGTTTGCTTGTCAGCAATTAAAAAAAAAAAAATTCAAAAAGCCGGGTGGTGGTGGTGGCACATTCCTTTAATCCCAGCATTTGGGAAGCAGAGCCAGGAGGATCTCTGTTTAAGTTTGAGGCTAGCCTGGTCTACACAGCGAGATCCAGGACAGGCACCAAAGCTTTACAGAGAAACCCTGTCTCGAAAAACAAAAACAAAAAAATTTCAAAGACAACACAATACCGTACAGGATCCAGACTCCCTGTGCATTTCCATCTCTATGTGGCTTATTTATTATTATTATTATTATTATTATTATTAATAAACTATTTACTTTTTTCTATGACTTGTATACCCATTTTCTTTTCTTTCTTAAGCTTATGCACATTTTTGTTTTGTTTTGTTTTTTGAGACAGAGTTTCTCTGTGTAGTTTTGGTGCCTGTCCTGGATCTCACTCTGTAGAGCAGGCTAGCCTTAAACTCACAGAGATCTGCCTGGCTCTGCCTCTGGAGTGCTGGGATTAAAGGCATGCACTGCCGCTGCCCGCTGCCTATGCACATTTTTAAACACACTGTAAGCTATTTAGAGGTTTATTTCTGTCTGGATATGTCTTTACTGCATATCTCTAGCCTTTTCTGTCTGCATGAGCAAAATCTTAAACTGCTAAGCTACCATTTGTAACTAGAGTTTTTCTGGTCCTGCCTGGCCCACAGTCAGGACAAATCTCTCTAACCCGCCAGTCCCACAGCAGCTCAGACCCAATCAAGTAAACACACAGAGACTTATATTGCTTACAGACTGTATGGCTGTAGCAGGCTTCTTGCTAACTGTTCTTATATCTTATATTAATTCATTTCTAGAAATCTATACCTTGCCACGTAGCTCATGGCTTACCGGCATCTTCACATGCTGCTTGTCATGGTGGCGGCTGGCAGTGTCTCCTTCACTCAGCCTTCCACTTCCTGTTCTCTCAATTCTCCTCTCTGTTAGTCCTGCCTATACTTCCTGCCTGGCCACTGGCCAATCAGTATTTTATTCATTTACTTATTTTTTGTTTTTTTTGTTTTTGGTTTTTCGAGACAGGGTTTCTCTGTGTAGCTTTGCGCCTTTCCTGGAACTCGCTTTGGAGACCAGGCTGGCCTCGAACTCACAGAGATCTGCCTGGCTCTGCCTCCCGAGTGCTGGGATTAAAGGCGTGTGCCACCACCGCCCGGCTTAATCAGTGTTTTATTTATTGACCAATCAGAGCAATTTGACATACAGACCATCCCACAGCACTTGGGTCCTCTGATGCAGCTTTGGCAGCTGACTCCACCCTGCTTGGGTCTGTAAGAGCTGAGCCTTAAGCTTACAGGCCCAGTCCAGAAGTGTGTGACCATGAACTGCCTTCAACCCCTCAGCTCTAAAAAGTGGGTGTCCCACACCATGGCAGGCATTTTTATTTAGCTTTTTGTTTCTACTTAACGTACTAGCTGTTTGAGTGCTCTGCTATATGACAGAGCTTCCTCTTTCTTCTTCTTCTTCTTCTTCTTCTTCTTCTTCTTCTTCTTCTTCTTCTTCTTCTCCTCCTCCTCCTCCTCCTCCTCCTCCTCCTCCTCCTCCTCCTCCTCTGCCTCCTCCTCCTTCCCCTCCTTCTCCCCCTCCTCCTCCTCCTCCTTCTTTTAGGTTTTTCCAGACAGAGTTTCTCTGTGGAAACAGTCCTGGTTGTCCTGGAACTTTCTCTGTAGACCAGGTTGACCTGGAACTCACAGAGATCTGCCTGCCTCTGTCTCCCAAGTGCTGGGATTAAAGGTGTGCACCACCACCACTCCGGCTCTTGTGGCAGAGCTTCTTAAAGGAACTGTATCCTTCTCTTTCTTTCTTTTTCTTTCTTTCTTTCTTTCTTTCTTTCTTTCTTTCTTTCTTTCTTTCTTTCTTTCTTTCTTTCTTTTTTAGCTTTCTCAGGCCCTATGTGGAAATTCAGGCCTCATGTTGGAATGCCAAAATGTATCAGGCTCTTTCCTTTAGGCCACCAGCCAGCTCCCAAATCATGACACATAGACTTCTTATTGGTTATAAATGCTCAGCGTAGCTTAGGCTCTTTTTCTGGCTACCTCTTTTAACTTAAATTAGCCTGTTTTCTTTATCTACGTTTTGCCTCAGGGCTTTTTACTTTTCTTTCCTTCTGTATATCTTACTTTTATTGCTTCTTGTGTCTGGCTGGCTGGCAGCTGCATGGGGCCCCAGGTGTCTCTCTCCTTCTCTCCTCCTTCTCTCGTCTTTCTTCTCTCTCTTTCTAGAGTTCTCCTCCTATTTATTCTCTCTGCCCGTCAGCCCTGCCTATCCCTCCCCTGCCTAGTTGTTGTCCGTTCAGCTCTTTATTAGACCCATCAGGCGCCTTAGGCAGGCAAGGTGAAACAAATGCAACACATCTTTACATAATTAAACAAATGCAGCATGAACAAATGCAACACATCTTTGCCTGCTGAAATAATATTCCACAAGAAACCCTAACAAAGAGAGGGTGTGCGTGTGTCTATGTATGTGTGTGTTATGTGCATACATGTTTCCTTGGGCTCAGAGCTGAAAGGAGGATTCTGGGGTTCACCGTTCTCCCCTTGCTGCTTTGTGTATTACTTCGCTTTTTATCGCTGTAATAAAGGTCATGACCAAAGGCAACTTGAGGAGGAAATGGTTTATTTTGCCTTAAAGTTTATAGTCCGTCATAAATGAAAGTCACCGCAGGAATTCAAGGCAGGAACTGGAAGCAGGAAGTGAAACAGAGGCCGTGGAGTAGTGCTGCCTACTGGCTTGTTCTCCCTGGCTCTCGTGGCCTCCTTTCTTACATCATCTAGGACAACATGAATGGGGTGGCACTGCCCACCGTGGTCTGGGCCCTCCCGTATAAATCATTAATCAAGAAATGCCTCACAGGATTGTCTACAGGCCCCAATCTGATGAAGACACCTTCTCAATTGAGGTTCCCTATCCCAGATGACTCTAGCTTGTGTCAAGTTCATAAAAAACTTACCAGGACATGTTGAGACAGGGTCTCATTGAGCTTTGAGCTAGGATGGAAACCTGCAAGCCCCAGCTGTAACCCTGGCCTCTGCTCTCCACAGCATAAGAGCTACTTCATGTCTAGCCTTCTCTTTTTTTTTTTTTTTTTTGAGCCAGGGTTTCACTATATAGTCCTGACTGTCCTGGGACTCGATCTGTAGACGAGGCTGTCCTGGAACTCATAGATCTGCCTGCCTCTGCCTCCTGAGTGCTAGAATTAAAGACATGTACCATCACTGCCAGGCTCACGTCTGGCCTTAAAAATTTTTTTTTTTTTTAAATGTGGATGATGGGGTTTGAACTGAAGTCCTGATGTTTGCACAGTAAGCAATCTTACAGGTGGACCCATCTCCTCACACCCCATTTTTCATTACTTTTTCAGACAGTCTCTTGGATCCCTGGCTGGCCTCAAACTAGCTATGTAGCATAGATGGGCCTTAAGCTCGGCTTCTGTTTCATTGTATGAATGCTTTGTCTGCATGTATGTGCGTGCCTTAGATGTGTGTGTGCCTGGTGTTGCAGAGGTCGGAAGAGGAGGTCGGGTACCCGGAACTGCAGTCATGGATAGTTCTGAGCTAGGAACTGAACCCTGGTGGTTTTGCTGCTCTTAAACGCTGAGCCATTTCTCTAGCTGTTTATTTTTAACCCTTAGTTCATCATGCACGCATTGCCTTTAATAACGAACAATTAAAACTAAAATTATACTTTTAAGAACACTTCTTATTACATTTATTTATTTATTTGTGTGTCATTCATTCATTCATTCATTCATTTATTTATATATGTGTGTGTGCCCACCGGTTGCGTCCTGCGGCTAGAGGAGGTCAGAGAACAGCTTGCAGGAGTCGGTCCCTCCCGACCCACCTTTCCACCTAGTGGTTTCTGGGGATGGAACTCAGGTCGGCAGGCTTGGTGGCAAACGCCATTCTTTATACGCGGAACCATCCGCGGGGGACCGCTTCCCCCGAATTATACTTTTAATTATTACATATAGATGGGAAACTGAAGTAGGTAGCCGGAAAGTACTGTTAGTTGACCCCTACACACCACACCACAAACAAAAGCTTTCCTCGCCTGCGTTCGCCACCCACACTCAGCTTCACCTCGATTCGGCTCCACCGCGCTCAGTCCCGCCCCTCCAAGCCCCGCCCCGCACGCCCTGAAGGCCCCGCCCTTCCCGCCCACTTCCTGTTTTCGGATTTCCGGGATCACACTCTGGCTCCAGCCCTTCGTGGGCTCAGCCCCGCCCTCAGGTCCCGCCCCCCCCCCACACGGCACGCCTCTGCCAACGTCACGTCCGGCATCCATATTGCCCTCCCCTCCCTCTTGCTCCCGCCTTCGCTCGCTTCCGGTAGTCACCGTTGCCGCTGCTGCCGCTGCTGCTGTGCTGCTGCTGAGGCTGCGGGCGGAGGCCGGAGGACCGGGCAGCGGCGGCGGCGGCGGCGGGAGCGGGAGCGCAGCGGGACGACCGAGCGAGAGCCGGCCGAGTTGAGAGCCGAGCGCGCTCTTCCGCCCGCTCGAGGAGCCAGAGCCTCCCGGGCCCCGCCGCCGCCGCCGCTGCACAAAGCCGCGAGCCCGCGCCTGAGCCATGTCCGCGTCGGCAGGCGGCGGCCACCAGCCCAGCCAGAGCCGCGCCATCCCCACGCGTACCGTGGCCATCAGCGACGCCGCGCAGCTACCTCAGGACTACTGTACCACGCCCGGGGGGACTCTGTTCTCCACCACGCCGGGAGGTGAGCCGTCCGGGCCTGCCCGCCATCGCGGCTGGCGCGTGGCGCTGTATGCTCGACCTACAGCTTCCTCTCATCCTTTCCCGGGCAGGTCCGCCTGCTCGGGCTGTGTGCTGCAGACCGTGCACTCTGCGAGGCGGGGCTCATCTCTGGAGCTGCCCTATGGGTTTGGGGGGAGGGAAGTCGGACAGGGGGATCCGGCGCGGAACGGTACGATGACTTATCGGGCCGTGCTTAGAGCCACGGGACGAGGCTGGCATGCACTGTGCATGCCTCGCCCAGTGTTATCCTCCTTTGACAGAATTGTTTGTTTTGTTGGAGGAGTCATCACAGGTCTGGGGAGCCCCAGGTTGGGAGAACTGGGGGGGTGAAACGCCTCCTGTAGTAGTAGCCCAGAAGATGTTGGCTCTGGTAGAGGCGCTGTCAGCTTTCAAGCCCAGAGCTTTTGGGGGAGCGGCTTTGAGATTGTGGAAGGGGGCTTTGCCAGACAGCACACACTAGTCGGCTTAGGTTGCCTGATCCTAGGGAAGGGGCTTGTGGAGGGAGGCAGTCCTGGGGTTGCTTTTCAAAAGATGGCCGAGAACTGTTTACCAGCAACACTAGAGAAGAGGTGACACATGCTGAATTGGTCACGGGAGAAGGAAGCGCAAAGGTTGTTTGTCCCCTTTCTGGGCAGTTCTCTAGAGGGAGGAGCTTGGAAAGGGATCTTCAGGGCGGTAATGAAGGGAACTGGCTTTCCTTTTCTAATCTCAGAACTTTGCCTTCTTTTGGTGACCCAGGGCTTTGACTAGCGGGTGACAATTTGGTTGGTAGTCTTGACCATGGGGCAGGGCTCCCAAGTTCACTCCAGCCAATCACTTGCAATTGTGCCTGGCCCTCCTGGGCTCTTGTGCAATAGGAAGGCACAGAGTAAGGGACCGCCTTGCCAACACCAAGACATAGTGATCCAGAGACTGTGTGTGTGGTAGTTTGGGGCTGTGGTCCTATTATTCTGGGAAGAAGAGGCAGGAGACTTGCAATTTAAGGCCACCCCCGGCTCTACACAGTGAGTTCCAGGACAGCCTGTGCTACAGTGTCAGACCCTGTCTCTAAAAAAAAAAAAAAACAGCCAGACAAGGAAGAGGGGCGGGAGCAAAGCAAACAAATTTAGGAGAAAGGCTGGCAGAGGATCCAGCCAGGCCAGTCAGTCTAGAGAAAGGGATGAATGCCCTGAAAGACCTTCAAAATGACCAGACAGAGGAAGTCATTCCTTAGGGATAGCCAGGTTTAAGAGTGAGTAAGACTGTCAACAGTGGAACTCCTGGTGAGGGGGCAATGGCTTACGTTGCTGAAGAAACCTTCCTGATTTAGTCTATTCAAGACCAGCAGGTTTTTGTTTTTCTTTTCTTTTCTTCTTTTTTTAAATGACAGTGTTTCACCATATGGTTCATCCTACCTTGGACCTCTATGTGATCCAGGCTGACCTCAAACCCATGATCTTGCCTTAGCCTCCCGAGGGCTGGGATTATTGGTGTGTGTCCCTCCACACCGGTGGAACCAAAAATCAGGAAAGGTCTTGGTCAGCCCCAGATGGAATTGTCTTAAATTGAACTGATAACTTTTAAGAAACAGAGATTAGCGGCCAGCACTTGGCAGACAGAGGCAGGTTGATCTCTTGAGTTCAAAGCTAGCCCATTCTACATAATGGTTTCCAGGACAGCCAAGACTGCATAGTAAGAACCTGTTTCCAGAACAGAACAAAACAAAAAGATTCTTTCCAAGGTGGTGGAGAGAGCGCTGTAATTTACTCCAGAGTTCTTTGTGGTATTGGTCAGTAAAATGTATGCTTCTCGCAGTTCAGAGCACATGTCGCAGTGACAGGTGCATTTAGCTCTAATTTACTTGGGGAGGCACCATACTTTTAGCTGTATGTTAATCTTGCTGTACTGAGGGAAGATCCAGACAGGGAAAGCCCTGTGGTCATATTTCAAACACCAAGCTGCTGTGCCTTCAAAAGAAAAGGCACATAGTCTTTAAGCCGTGCTTTAAAGACAGAAGCTGTCTCGCAGTTTGGATTAGTTCTGAACTGCTTGGGAAGGTCTGCCGGAAGTACTCATTCATCTGCCCATCCACAACAGTCACCACTCAGCCTGCGTCTCCAGAGCTTCTGCACAGGGTTATTTGTTTGTTTGGGGACAGGGTCTCACCATATATCCCTGGCTGGCCTGGAGCTCAGATTCGCCTGCCTCTGTCTCGTTGATGGCCGCTACGCCTGGCAGTCTTTGGAATTGGATGCAGGAGGGTTTGCTTCCTGTTTGTAAGGAGATAGCACTATAGAGATTGGAGCTGAACCCCACCCCCACTCCCCACCCCACCCCCCACCCCTGCACTTTTATTTTTTGAGACAGGGTCTCATTGTATAACTCTGGCTGATAGACCACGCCAGCTTCAAACTCAGCAGCAATCCACCTGCCTCTGCCTCTAATGCTGGGATTAAAAGTATGCGCCACCATGACTGGCTAAGCAGTCTTTTATAGCAGTTAGCTCAGTGGTGTTTAGGTATACAATGCTTATTGACTTTTTCCCTTTTAGAATGATGTGGGGGCGGCGCTCAAGACAGGGTTTCTCTGTTTCAGCTCTAGCCATCCTAGAACTTGGATTTGTAGACCAGGCTAACCATGAACTCAACCAAAATCTGCCTGCCTCTCTGCCTCCCAAGTGCTGGGATTAAAGGCATGTGCCACCATTGCCTGGCTGGAATGATTTTTGTGGTGGTCTTTAGTGGGGCTAGAGAGAGGGCTCAGCAGTTAAGAGTGTGCCTGCCAATCTTGAAGAGAACCTGAGTTCACTTCCCAGCTTCCACACTGGGCTGCCTGTAACTCCAGCTTCCGGAGATCTCATACCTCATCTGGCCTTCGCTGGCATGTGCACACATGGCATACGTCTCATAGACACATACTCATTTAAAAACAAAAACAAAAAACCCAAAACCTTTATTACTTGGGGGGGGGGGGGTTGGCTTGCCAGTGAAGGTCAGAGAGCAACTTTTTTGTTTTGTTTTGTTTTTTGAGACGGGTTTCTCTGTGTAGCCCTGGATGTCCTGGAACTCTCTGTAGACCATTCTGGCCTCAAACTCACAGAGATCGACCTGCCTCTGCCTCCGATTGCTGGGATTAAAGGCATGCAGTGGTGATGCAGAGCGAGAGCAACTTTTGATCTCTCCTTCCACTGGGGTCTCTGGGATCAAATTCAGGTCATCAGGCTTGTGTGGTGAGCACCTTTACCTCTGAGCTATCCTGCTGCCTCCTGCTTTGGAAAATTCTGCCCTCTGCTGCTTTCTCTCTCTTCCTCTTCCTTTGTTATCTTATCTCCATGGTAGATAAGGTCTCTAGTGAGTTTTGTGGTCAGCACTTTGCAGGAAACAAGGACAGCTGACCTAGGCAGGTGGTGCAGGCCTGTAAAGCCAGCACTCTCGACGAGGAGACAGGATCAAGATCACAGCCAACTTAGGCCAGAAGGAGTTAGGCCAACCTGAGCTACATGACAGTCTGTCTTCAAAAAAGAAAGTGTTGAGTGTAGTCCTTGCTCTTCGTGGGCTTCACATCCATTTAGAAGGGATGGAGGCTGCCGGTAAGACTTGGAACAATATAGTCAAATGGCCGACTTACATACTTGAGACCTGAAAACAGCAGGCTTGCATTGGGGATTTCTGCTCAGTGAGAAGGGAAGGGAGTGGGTTTCCTGCCTCAAGCTTCTGGAAATCTGAAGTGCCACACCCTTGGGGACCATTGCAGGATCCCATTCTATTTGCCCTGTAAGATTGGCCTTGGTGGGGCAAGAACCCTTCATTTGTTGGGAGACCCAGAGTAAGCAAGCCTAGCTGGAGGGTTTCTTAAAACACCCCTCTGTGGTTTGAAAATGAGAGCTGAGCTAAAAGCACACTTGCTGTGACATCTTGAGTGGCTTTTGCTGATACAAGGGGATTCTGCTCATTACTGAGGGACAGGAAAGCTTGTTGCGTGTTCTCCTGTCTACGGAGCAATGGGTGGTAGTCGCTTCTTCCAGTCGAAGCAGCTGCTGCTGCCTTCATGGAAGGGGAGCTTGTTCCAGTAGTTGAGCTTTCTAATATACCAGTCCTGTTAGCTGGAGGACCCTAGTGAGTTGTTCACTTTAGACTTGAACAACTCTGAGACCCAAAGAAATGAACTTATTAGTACTGTATAGCCAATTAATGTCACATTCAGTAGTCTTAGCATTACCCAGGTTCTCCCTCTGCCATCTTAGATGCTTACCTTCCTGGGAAAGGAAGTTGGCAGGCCTTTGAAGACATTTCTACCTCTGGAATGTTAGCTAGCAGTGTCTTTCTCCACAGTCTTCCTGAGAGACAAATGCTCGGAATGAGCAGAAGTAGAGTGACCTATTTTAGCCTCCTCTTTGCTCCTCTCCTTGTCACACTCTCAGGTATAGAAAAGAACACTGCACACAGGAGCGGCAGAGGGCCACTAATCACTATGGCCTGAAATCTGTGTGTTCTCTGTGTCTTCTCTGCCAGCCGTCTCCTGCCTTTCTGCTGCTATTGGTCTCCTAGGGTAGAGTTACCTGTGGGCTGTTGGAAGAATGGAAATAAATGAGAAGGCTTGAAGATATATTGGGGGAACCTGCTTTCTCAGTTGATCCTTTCTTGGAGGAATGAGCTATGGTCTAGTGTCTCGGTGACTTTGGCCTGTTTGTTCTGAGCCAACAATGTCTTTCTTTAACTTCATTCCGTTCTCTCCTGTTTCTTGTGTGCCCCTGTGGACCCATGCAGAGGCCGAGGAAAACACTGCTTGCTTACTCATCCTTTAGACAGGGTCTGTCACTGAGCCTGGGTTCGCTGAACCTAGAGGTTCTAGCCAGCAGGTTCCAGCAACCCTGCCCCCCCCCCCCCCAACACACACACACACATTCGCTCGACCTGGGAATACAGGCCACCCAGAGCCAAACTCAGCTTTTACATGGGTGCTGGGCATCTGAACTCAGATCCC